TAGTTATTTTTTTACTGTTTTTCAGTGCATTCTGGGAGTTTTGGAAGGTATCCTGATGTTATCATTAAAAAACGCTTCTAAATGCAAATGTGCATAAATGTGGTAACAGATGTTTTTTAACCTATGTTTTCCAGCAGTCAGTTTCCATTGTTCAGAAGTGTTTTCCAAACGTCCTGTGTACATGAGCCCTAATACTTGAGCTTGACCCAACATCTATAGTAGCTGGCAAAAGGATTTGTATTTGTCTGTCCAGTCTGGAGATTTACACAGCTCTGTCTGATAGTGCAGATGACCTGATTTTCTCTGCTGCAGTTAAGGAACATTTTCCTATGGGCAATCCAATCAGGTCGCCCTGTCACTTTTTCAAGCGATCCCGATCAGATGGTCCATGTATCCCATGGACTGGCGGGTGTAAACTGACTTCTTTCCATTTACATCTGCCTACCTCCAATCCATTCCGGTCCACTGAAAAAAATGGAAGGGGATCTGTCCCCCTCCATCAAGACCACGGGTGGCAAACTGGCAGCCCTCCAGCTGTTGCCAAACTACAAGTCCAATGAGGCATTGCAAAATTGACAGTTACAAGCATGACTCACAAATGTAGAGGCATGATGGGACTTGTAGTTTCACAACAGCTGGAAGGCTGTCAGTTTTGTAGAGGCAACTTTGGGGATACCAGGCAAACTCCAGACACGAACTCGAGGAAAACAAACCTTTTATTTAACCAGCGCTGGTTAAGACTTAGGCTATGTTCACACTAGCGTTGTGTGCAGGCAGCAGAGAGGCGTTTGGGAAGCGTTTTTACCGCTTCCCAAACGCCTCTGCCAATTCTGCACATTACAGCACATGGTGCTGTTCTAACGGGAGCATTTGCGTCGCGGCAAAACAGATGCCTCTGGTCGAGTCAGGAGGCATTGAAGCCTCCTATTCTAGTCTATGTGCCGCTCCGCAAATGCCCGGCCGGCGTTTGCGATGCGGTTGCAAGCGGTAACACCATTCAAACTGCATTATAGGCGTTTGTGGGGCATTTTTAACGCTCTGCAAACACCTAGCAACTTCCGCTAAACCACGCATGCAGCGTTTGCCGAACGATAAAAAATGCTTTGTAAACGCCGGACCAACGCTTGCCAAACGCTCTAGGGGCGTTTGGCAAGCGTTGGTAAAACAGCCAAGTGTGAACGAGCCCTTAGCCAGACTCATGTCTGCAAAGCTAAGTGGCTTCAAAAGCATCTCACAGAGTATGCATATTAACAATTATGTCACAATGCATATTTTTCCTATTTCACTTTCTGTACATTCAAATGGCTTTCTAAACTGGGCAGTATATGGCCTTGAATTTCAGCTACATATAAGGGTGCTAGCTACAGGCTGGTACACATTACTTTACAGGAAATAAGGGAGGGCGAAAATGAGCTGAAAACCTTGCTTTGCAAGAAGAGTCTGCTAGAAATGTTAAAGTTTAAAGGGGAACTCTGCAATATTTGGGTGCTGCCACAGTCTGACATACCTGATCCAAACCATTCCATTGTAGCTCTGGCTGTATGTTTAGGGTCATTGTCCTGCTGAAAGGTGAACCTTCGCCCCAGTCTCAAGTTGTTTGCAGACTCTAATGCGGCCATAGATGGGTTGTTTATCGGCCGAATTTTTGTCCGCACGAAAAATCGGCCAATATTCACGCCGTTCATCGGTCATGCTGGAAAATCATTGGTGGCAGCATCAGCAACGGGGCCGACCGATTTATTTTGTTTATCAGCTGAAAATTCGGCCGATAAATGGCCCGTCTATAGCCTGCATAACAGGTTTTCTTCTGAGATTGCCCTGTATTTGGCACGAACAAGAACACAATAGCTCCACAGGAGGGTTTCCCCTGTCAACACTCTATGTGAATCAAGCAAAAGAAATTCGGTCCATCTATGGCAGCCTTAATTCAAGTTCATCTATTCACTGGAAAGTGGTAAGAGCCAAAGGGCTAACAGCTGAAAATATAAAAGGAGTTTTCCACTTTGAGCAAGAATGCTTAAAATTATGGGGCATTTATGCCAGGTGGTATTCCCCCCTTACATAATTAATTTCCTAAATTCTAGTGTAGCCAAAACACCAGAAGTTCAGAGCAATACAGCTCTAGTCAGTAAAGCCATGTAATGTATTGCAGAGTGGACCCTGATCTTTTTTTGTGTTCAATAACAAGATCGATGTCATTATAGAACATAACAGTATAGCACCCAAGTACAGTTCACCAATCTGCATTACACTTTTTCTCTGTTTACTGTACTTCTTGTATGTGGATTACCTGTTGACAGGCACTGAGTAACGAGCCTGTAATAAAGTAATCCATGGGCATGTTACTCTACACTGGAAACACACAGCACAGAGGAGAGGCGGTGGCTCTCCATGGGAACACCCATATTTTGACTTTTTGGCCAGGGTGGAGCTAAAGCCATCAATGACAGTGGTAATAATGGGTTATGATTAATAAGTAGTTAGTAATCATTTCCAAACACTAGCACAGCTCTAAACAGGACTGAATGCTACATGCACCGGGTCCTGAGGGAGTTACAAATTATTTTCAAGTTGTAGTGATAATTCTTGTTTAACCACTTTTCTACTTTCCTACTACTTTCTACTTTTTTTTTTTTTTTTTTTACACAAATGTTAAAATCTGCACTTTTTGCTTGAAAATTACACTAAACCACCAATCATGAAAGCAGAGACCCTGTAGAACAAAATGGTGGCAGTTACAATTTTTATGGTGCACAATGTTTGCATAACTTATTATCAAAACTATATCTTTTGGAAAGAATACACAAAAATTAATTTTATTAAATACAAGTACAATATAATATCCAATTTTTGGAAAACGTAAAAGATGGGGTGCATTGAATAAATAGATATCAAACATGTTAGGGTTGCATCGAGTAAATAAATACAAAACATGTGAGGAATTAAAATTGTTTGCACCCGCAAAATGGTAAAAAATGACGGTATCCAAAATTGTCCATAAACTACACTTCAAAAGCCATTAAGGTTATCAATTTAGAGTTAACTGTGAATGATGGTCCTAGAATTATTGTTTTTGTGGTGATACTTAACATGTGTACACACTATGCATGAATTAGCATTAGCATGTGTGCAGGGGGCAAAAAAAAAAAATATATATAATTTACATTTTTTAATTATGCACCTGCAAAATGATGGAAAACTACACCCTACAAGTACATCTATCCGCAAATGGTAAACAATAACATGCATTATACCAATCCTTTAACATATATATATATATATATATATATATATATAAAACCTAAAAGTGCAAAATTCTGTATTATAATGTCCCACACCATACGATGAATAATAAAGTGCTTGATGTAGTGCTTAGTAATATATTTTCCTCCTATTTGGTTATTTCAGTGCTCCACCACATGTGCCACACCAATGAACTCAACACAGATCTATGACCCTTATTTAAAAGGAAGGTCATAAATGCTTGTTATCCAGGATCCTGATTCAGCTCCCTGCTGGTATCCTTCCTCTCTATGGATCTCTTCCTCAGAATGGCATACAGCTCTCCCTCAGTAAAGAATCAGTGTATGCCAGAAGGCAAGTAATCTCATAGAGTAGTATTTAATAAAAGATAAATAATCTTCTAGGGTAGTATTTATTAAAGGATATGTGTTCATTTCTATTTGAAAGCAGCAGCCTCCTTTCACCAGAGGAATACCTTCTTTGTGGTCACTCTTGGGTCACAGAAAGACCAGCTGGACTCTTTGGCCACCAGGTTTTGTTGAGTTCACCAGACTTTATTTCAGGGTTATGCCATCTACATGTGAAACCTCCGTTTCTAATTATGGCCCTTTCCCCTAAGGCTGTAGGTGCCTTGTGAGCTTTACTCTACGAGGCATCTGTTTCACAGATCTGCAAGCAACTACCTGGTTATCTACTCTTAACTTTACCACGTTTTACAAGGTTGATGTTATATCTTCAGGTTCTAGTTTTGGATGCAAGATCCTTCAGGTGCTGGTGTAACATTCTCACCTTGGTGAAGAGTTGTTTACAAGTTAGTGGTATTGTGCTCTTCTCTATAGGCACTCCTTTTTGACATCCCAGTTATAAATAATATAGAAAGTTGTGTCCATCAATGAAGGAAACGGAAAATAGAATTTTTTTTTTACTCCCAGTAAAATACTTTTCTCTGAGTTCATTGATGGACCCACACCTCTGTTGGCTGTTTTCCATGTTGGAGTGTTGGAGTGTTTTCCTACTTTTGTTCCTAGTTGTTCACTAATTTAGATCTTCAGAACGTGAGGGGGTGTTGATCACCATGCAACTTTGATGTACTGTACAAGTGACATACTGTATGATTTTAGAGTGTGAACAGACTGCATGTAGAGGTAACAAACCATCTAAGGCTAGTGGAGCAGTGTCACTGATTGATCTTCTGGACGAAGCCACCTAAATAGTTATCCACTATAACTCCTGGGAAACATAGCTGTTACTGGGGCCAGCTGAAAGCAAAACTTTCTCATCCTGTGTCTACCACCTTTGGAGATCACAAGGATGGAACAATGGACAATGAATACCTTTTGGATGACTTGTTTGACAAGCCTTCATTAGTCTCACAAGCATAAATATGATTTGCTGGGACCCACCTGATGGAAGTGTTCCAAGAATAGACGGAGGCATTGTGTGATTGTGTGTATGAGAGGTATAGTGAGAATAAATATGCAAGCTGTGGAATAGACTGACTCTTCATAAACCCTTATTTTAACATCTAACTGTCCTTCATTAAAAATCAATTAAACCCAAAGCACAGCACATTCTACAAGGGGACATTGTCACCAGCAGAAGCTGCCCCTAGGCTGAGTTCTCCTGCAGATGGTAGTATAACCCAATCATGAAGAACAGAGAAAGCTGTGTCCAACAATGAACTCAGATACAAGGATTTTATGGTGAGTATAAAAAATCCAATTTTTTTCAGCTCAGGTCCACTTTAATACAATCGGCTAGAAACATGCAACATTAATGTTTTGTTTTGAGACATTAGATAACTGCAAGATGTGTAAGCAACTGTCACAAAGTTGCGTACTTACCAGAAACCAATAAATATTCATGAGTGTCAGTGCAAATAGCAGAACATTGAAGAAGAAATAAAAAGGGATGTCTGGATTAGACTCAAGGCTGGAACAACATGTGACATAAAGCACTTTCATAGGAAACCAGTAGAGTCGGAACCAGAACCTGTAGGAACAGGAATGTGACACTATGTAGAACTATATAAATAATGAGATATTTAGCAGCTGATGTTGAGGTCACACATACAAGAGGTTACAAATGTATCACCTTACCAGCTCACACTAAATAAGACAGATCCAATATCTGTAATGATGCTGTTGACTCTGTGGTAGGTTCCACCTCTTGTTTTGAAGTAGACGTTTAGTTTGGAAAATTCTAATACTATGTCATTAATGTCATGATGAAAAAGGACCAGAATCCCAATGTTGTGGTACCTATAAAAACAGGTGATAAATAAGATTGTCATCTTCTGTGACCATACTATCATTATCAGTACAGTTTTAGTTAAAATGGACTGAAAGTAGCCAGATTTCTTAGTAATGTCTTGTACACACGATGAGAAAATCAGATGGAAAAAAAAACCATTTTAAGAGCGACTGTCCGATAATCTAATCATTAGTACACAGGTTTTGAGAGCCAATCGTGACAGTTCATGCAAAATTATCCAAAAGGGCAAGCGCAAACATTTTTTTCGTAAGATAACAGAACGGACGATTTTCATTTAATCAGTAGATTGAGTGACCAAGATCACGCATACTCGGACATAAAAGAATACAGTACAACACAAAACAATACATTCCGGGAAGTTGTATCCTGTCTTATAAGAATTTTCGTTACTCTAGTAACCTATGCGTTTTTGATATGAGACTAGCATGCAGAAGAAAAACGATGATCATTCATTAGACATTCTCATCGTGTGTACTAGGCTTAAGGGTAAGGAAAAACAGAGAAGATGGTTACCTGATCTGTCTTTTGCTTATCTCATGTGGGTCTGGTGACACAGGTAGAAAATTTACAGTGAACACAGTAGGCAACTGAACTAAACGCAATTACTGCATATGTATATGGATAACACCAGAATGTTATCTATGCAGATACTGCTTGCTTTCAGTACATGGAATAGAGATCAATAGATCAGATCCAAATTAAATGTTAATCACTTTGTATATATAACTATCCTGCATATTGTAGATTGATCATTGCCTCATTAAGTTTTTAAGGGCTTGCCATGCCAATAACATGCCTTTATACAGGTCCTGATTCAGTAGCAACAATGGTGCCAATTGACTTCACACATCTATTCTCTATCCCACAGTATAGTCCTCCTTGAAACTGTAGGAGAGGGCTGATTAGGTATCCATGTGGCTAGCGTAGGAGGTGATCATATGCTGTTTAAGTCGTTGAAGAAATTTTAAGGTGCCACATTGTAAATATTTGCCTTCTGTGTCAGACCATTGCACATGTTCCTAAATGTCACATGGAATGTAATATATAAGTGCTGCAGTTCACAGAAAATTATAACTCAGCTTTATATCCCTAATTATCAGGTAGTGATCCCATGCTGACGTAGACAAACAGTAATTGTGAAATGCAGGGATGGACACATTTCTCCCTGATAAAACAGGTCATGCTAGTATGGCTTACTGTAAATTAGATCACTCATGTCACAAAATCTGCATACATTAAAGCCCAACTTCCGGCATTGAAAGTTCTATGTTTTTTAACAAATATTTAATTAACACAATTAACATATAAATAATGTAATTCATTTACTACTGCAGAAGCTCGCTAAGCTCAAATGCAAGATTCTGATCTGTACAAAAGGGAGACACACTTCTGGCTCCTCACTGTGTAAGAAGGGACCTTGTAGTCTTACAAGATCACTGCACCACTGAGGAGCCCGCAGAAGTACAGGGCTCTCCTTAGCACTGCACCTGCCTGAGCCCACGCAAAACTACTGCCCTGCCCACCATGTGTACAGTTGGTGAGCTGTACCCCAAGGCACCATCCCCCTTGTCCTCTAGTGGTCAGGAATCACACTTTCGCAAGGCCTTGTATTCTGACTCCATGGTTCCAGGCTATGGCTCCGACAATCTCACTGAGCACCTAGGTCCATGGTCATAGGGACTCAGGTCACCCGCTGTCTGTTTTGGTTGAGGTATATTCCTCTCGCACACCATACTGAAATTGACCATGTGATGGAAAGGGTGGCTGCAACAAATCCCAACTGGTCACGGTGTAAAACATGGATAAAATACATTCTATTTGTTGTATTACCACATAGAAAAGCTATGTTGAGGTGTCCTCACTCAGGACAGGACACTTCTTCTTTGGACACTTCTTTCCACTGGCCACAACCACCATCAACTGGCCTAACCAGGTTCTACCCCATCAGTGGGTCGTATCGATCCAGCCACCTACAGCTGTGCACTAGGCCACTTCACATGCTTACACTTAGACATCTCTTGTGAATAAAGTCACTACTGTCAGAAACAACATCCATGCCTTTTACCTAATGTTTGAAAGGTACAGTTCAATGATGCAGCCTTACATTCATAAGCTAAAATAACAAGAAAAAAAGTAAGTCTTTATCCAACTTCAGTGGCATGATCTAAGTTCCAATCTAAGTTCTTACATTCATGGCCGGGGGGGGGGGGGGGGGGGGGGGGGGGGGGGGGGGGGCACTTAGAAAATGAGCCAAACTCCAAGGGAGGCCCACAAGGAGAAGCCAAGGACACAGTCCACTGTCCTACACTCAGTGATGTACACTCTGACCACACTAAGCTTCACCCACTATTTATAAGACGTCCTGCCTGAGAGGGCTGAAAGTCAATAGTGAGAGACCTTCCACTCTATCATAGTGAGGAGCAGACTGGTATAGGAGCAGGTTAGTGCATCCACACAGCAGCTTTTACTAACAGGTTCCTCTGAAAGAGGACTGAGAAGTGAAAAAGAGTCCTTATCTTAGGCTGCTCTGTTTAGTCTGATACACAATTCTAAGTCTTTTTGGAACAACATGTCCTAGAATTTATACTGGAACTATTAGCTCCACAAAGGAGAGGAGACTGGAATATGAGAATTTGTAATTCCTATCTCGCTACTGTCATTGTGATCATCATCGTGGATCATTGTCAAGATCGTCCATTTGTTGCCTATATAGTGTCATGATTTCTCACTTGAAACTCTCATTATGTTACAATTTCCCATTTGTTGCCTGCATATTGTTAGGACTGCCTATTTGTTGCTTCTGGAATTTAAAGAGTAACTCCACTTTTGTTGAGAAAAAGCTAACCTCTTTGGGCAGCCAATCTACATTGCAATGCTTTTAACAATCTGTGCTGCAGATTCCTATCTGTTTCTGCTCTGAAAAAAAAGCTGTTTGTCCTTTTGATACCGATCCTGAATGGGAGTGACTAATTCATTTCAATCAGCTGGTACACTTTCAGGGTTCTGAAGAGAAAAGTTGCAGTGTCCGCATCCCTTTAGAAGTGATTAACCCTTAGGGAGTATATCACCAAGAATGGCCTATTTGGTGCAGAGGATGCCTAGACTGACTCATATCTCAGTGCAGAGTCCTTCACCCAAGTAGGAAATTACATTTCTGGGGGAGTTTTATAAACCAACGGTATACAGAATGCCTCTAGGTCTCCATATTGCATTTATATATACAGAAAATTAAATCATTGCGGTTTGAATAAGAAACGTAATTTTTAATAACCCGTTCAAACTAGAACGTAGTGCGTGAAAGCTGCATTTCTATGCGGCTTTTGCACCGCATTCCAATCTTACTCCCCTTGCCATCAGCTGGGGGTGTCAGTGGAAAGTTAACGACACCCCAAACACAGGGCGTTTGCCCACACCAGCCTGAACCTGTTCACAAACAAATCTGCATGCCTCCATAGATAATTTACACATGGGCAATACTGGGAAAGTAAATGTTAACACATCTTTTGTATTTTTCAGTGAAATCATATACTTGTTTTGACTGCATCATTGACACTCCGAAATGACCACTCTCGCTAGTATATACTGCTCTACTTCAGTTCATGTTTTCTCTGCACTGGCAGTAGAGTTTCCTGTCCTCCGCTGAACTGGTATTGATCACCAGAGTTTAATGAAAACAAATGGAGCTGCTGTCACCCTTCAATACAAAAGACTGACAGGAGATCCAATTTCCAACACCTGGTAACCAGGGGCATAACCGATATGCCTCTGCTGGAAAGTCACTGTGCGGCATATTGACTTTCCAGGCGCTATCTCAAAGGTAGAGTTGTACATAAACAGACCATACTGTATACCATTGCCCCAAAATATTTTTAGAAAACGACAAATTGAATCTCATACCTCTTACAATTATACACAAGTAAAGACAAATATATAAAGTATATAGCCATTTTTTTCCTTTCAGCTTGTCATAGCTGAGCAGGTCTATGGATCAAAATTATAATATGGTTTAGGGGTTTCCCTTTCAGCATCAGAAACTGGCACAAAATTATTAACCTCCCTAGCGGTCTGATTATATCCATATTTCTGTGCTCAAAGTGGTACATTTTTTAGCATGGAAATATGTATTTTTTTTTTTATTGTAGGCCTGTAATTTTTAGGAATAACTCACTGAAATCTGTCCGAACAAGAGTCTAGTAAACATCCCGGGTATGTTAAAATTTGAAACACGAAATCATAAATTATAATTTAATAAATAATCATAAAAAATAATAATATAATAATAATAAATTTAATTAAATAATAGAATCAAACCAAAAAAACTGAAATTTGAAATATAACGCCAAGTTCGCACATCACTGAGCAAAGTCGTTTTCAGTGTCTGATGACGAATTTCCCCACGAATCATTATCACTCAATTCTGCAAGTGATTATAATTTACTATCGCTGTTCTCTAGCTGGTCTAAAACTGCTTTTGAACTAAAGGGACGCTTTTTGGACACCATGGACGTTTCTCAGTTTCCAGGCAGAAAGAACAGTAAAAATGCAGGCAGGGCACAGGACAAAGCACTAGGGACAAAATGTATGTGAAATGGTTTGATACAGTAATGTTTTACTATGTGATTTTAGTGTATTGAGTGAATCTCACTTTTACAGCTTTCAAATTTCCCGCCAGTTCCGTCCCCGTTTGTCCTGACGTCACAGGGAACGGAACCCAGAAGACAGATGCTGGCATCCGCCCGAGGACATTGCAGAGGACACTGCAGGAGGGACATCGCGGAGCGCAGAACAAGGTAAGTGAAGAACAGATCCCGGAGCAGCGCTGCATGGTAAGCCCGAGTGTAGCTCGGGGTTACCGCTTGTGGTACTGAAACTTTACCCCGAGCTACACTCGGGAATACCGCCAGGGAGGTTAATGGATTATATTTTAAAGATTTAAAGCCCAACTCCAGGCAAAAATTAAATTTAAATAGTACATTGTGCATCACTTTACTCCACAATGTTGATTCCAAACGTGTCTTACTAAGCCATCCTGCAGGGTAGTGAATCAAATGGGGGTCATTTACTAAAGTTGCATGGGGCAAAATCTGGTGCAGCTCTGCATAGAAAACAAATCAGCTTTCAGGTTTTATTGCCAAAGCTTAATTGAACAAGCCAAGGTTAGAAGCTGATTGGCTAACATGTACAGCTGAACTTGCTTTTTGAGTGCTCCAGTTTTAGTAAATGTCCCCCAGTTCCTCTATGAGCAAAGCTAATATCCTGCCCTGGGAATCAGATATGTTTGCTTGCTCATTATCTTCACTGGGCCATTCATCACCCCCAGGAGTTCTTCTGCCTCCACTTTGGGAGAGGAACTGGTGTGTGTCACATCTACCAATGGGAGACATCACACGGACAGTGATGTGGATACTTGAAGAAGACCCCCCCAACTAAACAGAAGAAGAGAGAATCATCTGGCCAGCAGCATCACATGGATGCAGCTTCAGGTAAATAAAATGGGCATTTGCATAGTTTTTTTCATACCAAAGCTAGAGGGTGGGTTTGCTAATATCCTGGAGTTGGGCTTTAAACATTTCTGCCATCAGATACTGTAAAATAGTTTTTGATTTAGACTACAGTCCTTAAAGGCAAGTACACCTAGATCTGTCCTGTCTGAATACAATAAATAACACTCTATTATTCTATTTCTTTTAGACACGCAAACTTTATACACATTCATTTTAAACAAAGTTTATTAGCCAAATGCTATCACTGCCTGAATAAATCATGCAGTTGGGCAGGGCGGCACCTTTCTATTCCTGACACACAATTCCTAGAAATGCAAGCATCAGCATATGCATTTAGTTTAATTGAATTTATGATCACCTTAGCTATTGCAATAGAATGTGAAACTGTTGGTCTAGCTGTCTCTGGTTAAAGCAACCCTGTTATTATGTATCAAAATTCAAAATAGTCACACCTGGAAAAGTAACAAGTAAATAATTACATACCTTTCCCACTGCTCACACCATCACATTGACACTTTGTGAGAAATCTCCAGTTGAAGTCAAAAGGAAAAAAACAGTTATGAACCTCAGGGTCCCCTATAGTGCTCAGTGGACGGAGTCCTATAATGTGGAGGTCAGAGGGAAAAAAAAACATCTGAGTACTGTCTTAGATTGTAAGCTCCAAGGATCAGGGCCCTCCTAACCCTCTTGTATTGAACTGTATTGTTGCTGTATTGTCTCCCTTTATATTGTAAAGCGCTGAGCAAACTGTTGGCGCTATAGAAATCCTGTATAATAATAATCTTAGATTGTAAGCTCCAAGGATCAGGGCCCTCCTATCCCTCTTGTATTGAACTGTATTGTTGCTGTATTGTCTCCCGTTATATTGTAAAGCACTGAGTACACTGTTGGCGCTATATAAATCCTGTATAATAATAATCTTAGATTGTAAGCTCCAAGGATCAGGGCCCTTGTATTGAACTGTATTGAACTATTGTCTCCCGTTATATTGTAATTGAACTGTTGTATTGTTGCTGTATTGTCAAGGAGCAGGGCCCTCCTATCCCTCTTGTAAAGTATTGTTGCTGTATTGCATTAACTGCTGAGCAAACTGTTGGCTCTATATAAATCCTGTATAATAATAATCTTAGATTGTAAGCTCCAAGGAGCAGGGCCCTCCTAACCCTCTTGTATTGAACTGTATTGTTGCTGTATTGTCTCCTGTTATATTGTAAAGCGCTGAGCAAAAACTGTTGGTGCTATATAAATCCTGTATAATAATAATGTTAGATTGTAAGCTCCAAGGAGCAGGGCCCTCCTATCCCTCTTGTATTGAACTGTATTGTTGCTGTATTGTCTCCCGTTATATTGTAAAGCGCTGAGCAAACTGTTGGCGCTATATAAATCCTGTATAATAATAATCTTAGATTGTAAGCTCCAAGGATCAGGGCCCTCCTAACCCTCTTGTATTGAACTGTATTGTTTCTGTATTGTCTCCCATTATATTGTAAAGCGCTGAGCAAACTGTTGGTGCTATATAAATCCTGTATAATAATAATGTTAGATTGTAAGCTCCCAGGATCAGGCCCTCCTAACCCTCTTATATTGAACTGTACTGTTGCTGTATTATGCGCTATATAAATCCTGTATAATAATAATAATCATAATAATGAGGGACCCAGGAGATTGACACTCCTGGAAGTGTTGGTTTTCCTTCAGACTTCAGACAGGTTTTTCTTGCGATAAGAGCAGCATCCTGGCAGCACAGGATAGGTAAGGTCACTTGCTTCTTTTTCAGGAATGGCTACAATTTGATACATAATGCAAGGTTCACTTTAAAGAGTCAGTTCACCCAAAGCTGATATTTACATTTTTGGTAGAAGACGGAGTGCTGAGCCACCCAAAAATGTCTTATAATACTCAGGAACTCTGTTGGTAAGGTATTTGTGCTTGTGTTTCTGGGTCTGCACATCTGGCCATTACGAGGTGTTCCCACTCTCTGTTTGATTCTATTTATTTTATATTATGGAGAATGCAGCAAGAAGAGCTGGAACACACAAAGGTAAGTAGGAACACCCACAACTCCTAGGTGGAGAAGACAGTCTGGAAAAATGGCAGTGAAATTTCCCTGTTGGAGTATCCAAGACTTAAAGTGGTAGTAAAGCCATATTTTTGAGAAATTGCTGACAGGCAAGATATTTATAACAGGAGTGAAACCAGGAAGAAGACCGGGTAAAGATGGAAGTGCCCAGGACCCTCCGGATTGATCACACCGCAGCACTGGAGGACTTCTTTGACAGGTAAGTCTGCTATAATGTGCTAATATGCAGTACATACTAGCACATTATGGCATATACCTGTAGGGGGCCCCTAAAAAAAAAACATTTTGGACTGTACTACCACTTTAAGAGAAGCTGATCCTTTAGTGTCCAGTACTCTGAAGGGTATTTTTAGATTGATACAGATCCAATATTTAACTTACCGGAAAGCATAGGAGAAAAGTATTAGGGTAAAAGTGACTAAATGGTGCAGAATCATGACAATAGAGTCCTTTCTCCATGCATCCATGTACAGGGTTGCGTATGTCGAATGTGCGTAGAAACTGCCTTGAACCAGATACAGAAAGGCAATTTCTGCAGGAACGTCTGCTCCTGATGTCCAACCTGAATCCACCAAAGAAAAATTAAACAATTAAACAGAGGTAGGCTTAAAGTGAATCAGTGCAATAGGTTTATTTAATGCAGAACATCATAGATCCATATACTTACCTTTCTTATGCTCCTTCTGCTTCTCTGTTCAACTGCAGGGAGCAAAAGAAAAACCTGGTGTAAGCTATGAGTCCCCAGTGTTGTAGATAATATGGGGCTAAGGGCTTCATGTGCAACGGCACTTATTAGCCCATCGTTGACGCATGGCCTTAGTCACATGCTCCTCCATATCCAAAAGTATTTGGTATCTCCTGATCCTGAACGGAGCAGCAGGGGAACCAGGGAAACATAAGTATATGCTTAGGAGGGGTGGGAGATTAAAGCAAACCTCAATCTACAAAACACAGGTTTGCTTTAGGGATACCGCATGTACCATCTCTATGCTGATGACACACAAATCTATCTTTCTACCCCTCACCTCACCCCTTCAGTCTCCTCTCGCATCACTAACCTACTAAGCGACATATCGGCTTGGATGTCACTCCACTTCCTCAAACTCAATCTTTCCAAAACTGAGTTCCTAGTATTCCCCCCAGCCCGTGCCCCTTCCCCTGACTTCTCCATCAAGATCAATAACACAATCATCAGTCCCTCCCCTCATGCCAGGGTACTAGGTGTAATCCTAGACTCCTATCTGTCCTTTCAGTCCCAAATCCAATCACTGTCCAAATCTTGTAGACTTCACTTCCGCAACATCTCCAAGATACGCCCGTTCCTAACCTCGGAAACCACTAAGCAACTCATCCACTCCCTTGTTATATCTCGCCTTGACTATTGTAACTCCCTCCTCATTGGCCTACCTCATTGCAGGCTATCCCCTCTTCAGTCTATCATGAATACTGCTGCCAGACTCATCCACCTTACTAACCGTTCTGTATCTGCCACCCCTCTCTGCCAATCCCTCCACTGACTTCCCATTGCCCAACGGATAAAATTCAAAACACTAACAATAACGTATAAAGCCATTTATAACTCTGCCCCAAATTACATCACCAATCTTGTCTCCAAATATCACCCAAACCGTACTCTTTGCTCCTTGCAGGACCTCCTGCTCTCTAGCTCCCTTGCCTCCTCCTCCCATGCTCGTCTCCAGGACTTCTCCAGAGCTTCCCCCATCCTCTGGAACTCTCTACCCCAATTTATCAGACTATCGCCTACTCTGCTCACTTTTAGGCGATCTCTGAAAACCTATCTCTTCAGGGAAGCCTATCCAGCCCTCAGCTAACAATGGAATCTTCTACTCTTCCAACCAGTCCATCCCCCACAGTTACTACCTTTTGTACTACTACTAGATTGTAAGCTCCCTCCCTCCTAATTGTAAGCTCCAAGGTAAGCAGGATCAGGGCCCTCCAATCCCTCTTGTATTGAACTGTACTGCTGCTGTATTGTCTCCCGTTATATATTGTAAAGCGATGAGCAAACTGTTGGCGCTATATAAATCTTGTATAATAATAATAATAATTCACACAGGAATCGCACAGTATTTCTGTGCGAATTACATGCAAGTGTCTCAGCAGTGCGATTTAATCCAATTGCATCGTATCCGCACCAAAAAGGTGCAGAACCCATTTTTAAATCTGCACCTCAATCATATCGCCTGGGTGTTCTCACCCACGAGATGCATTTCTGGCAATCATATCACATTTTTCAATCTGTTTCGGGGTGTCATTGATTTATCATTAATACCCGCACCAGATCGCATGAACACAATGCGATTGCAATGCGGTGCGGGAAATGCACAGGATTCACAGCGTTTCCCACACCACATTGGTGTACACCCGGGCTTAACCACTTCAATACCGGACACTTTCACCCCCTTCCTGCCCAGGCCAATTTTCAGCTTTCAGTGCTGTTTGCACTTTGAATGACAATTGTGCGGTCATGCAACGCTGTACCCATATGAAATTTGTATCATTTTGTTCAAACAAAGAAAGCTTTCTTTTGGTGGTATTTAATCAAGACTTGGTTTTTATATTTTGCTAAATGAAAAACAAAAAAATTTTGAAACAAAAGTGTTTTGCTTCGTTTCTGTTATAAAATTTTGCAAATAAATAATGTTCTAATTGATGAGCCTGATGGCCCAATTCCTTTAAACCTTTTACCAGATCGGTAACTGGACTCATCTCCTGCTTTAAAGTTCAGAATTAATGCTTCTATCTTTTGTCTGGGGCTCCTCCCGCCCTAGAATTAATAAAAGAATTTTATTTGCCTGTAGGGGCGAAGGTGGATTGTCTGTCCCGAATCTTCATGCATACTATTTAGTGGCAAGCATAGCCCCACTAGCCCATCTTCACATGTCTCACAATATTCCCTTATGGGCCACAGTGGATATGATGTACTCCCATCCGACGTCACTTTCTTTTGACGTGGCTCCCCCTTATTCATCGCCCATCACCCCTAAGCCTGACATTAACACATACGCTTCGTCTCTGGGCCTCAATTAAATATTTCGGCTGGTTTTATTTCTGCTCACCTACTCTTGATGCACCTATTTCACAACCATTGTTTCCCCCAGGCCTCGATAATCCTGGCCAGTTTGCGTGGTGGTCAGCCCATGGCTTCAATGACATACATTCCATGCTCTCTCCCATCCGGATACTTACTTTCGCGACTTTGCGTTCTTCACATGACATCCCGTTGAGGGAACATTTTAGCTACCTTCAACTTCAGCATTTTCTTACATTATTACGAACCCATTCGGGCCCCTATAGGCTGATTCCCTTCGAAAGTCTTTGTAGGCATAGGCCTCATGCTCCAGGCCTGATCTCACTTGTCTACTCCACTATCATTTCTTATCGGGCTCCCCTGATTCGCTCCTATCATCAGCAGTGGCAATCGGAACTCAGGGGTTGCCTAGATCAGCAGGACTGGCGGATCATGACTCAGGCATTGTCTAAATGCTCAAGGAATGTTATTATCCTAGAAAACGCCTACAAGGTCCTTTATAGATGGTATTATTATACGCCTGTCCCATTGGCTCACTTTATTTCCATCATATTCTCCGACTTGCTTTCAGGGTTGTCAACAAATAGGCACCTTGGCCCATATTTTGTGGACTTGCCCCAAGGTATGCAAAGTATGGATTAGGGTCTATGCCAGGGGTGGGCAAACTTTTTGACTTGAGGGCCCAAACGGGTTCATATATTGGACCGGGGGCCGGACCAAGAGTAGATGAATGATGTGTATGTGTCATCCATAGTAAGTATAGTAATATTCCCCCATAGTAAGCATAGTAATTAATCCCCCATATAGTAATTCATCCCCCATAGTAATTCATCCCCCATAGTAATTCATCCCCCATATTTAGGTAATTCATCCCCCATAGTAATTCATCCCCCATATAGTAATTCATCCCCCCTATAGTAATTCATCCCCCTAGTAATTCATCCCCCATATAGTAATTCATCCCCCATAGTAATTCATCCCCCATATAGTAATTCATCCCCCCCTATAGTAATTCATCCCCCCTATAGTAATTCATCCCCCTATAGTAATTCATCCCCCCTATAGTAATTAATCCCCCATAGTAATTCATCCCCCATAGTAATTCATCCCCATATAGTAATTCATCCCCCATATAGTAATTCATCCCCCATAGTAATTCATCCCCCATAGTAATTTATCCCCCGTATAGTAATTCATCCCCCGTATAGTAATTCATCCCCCATATAGTAATTCATCCCCCCTATAGTAAGTCCCCCAAACCGTAATTCATCCCCCATATAGTAATTCATCCCCCATAGTAATTCATCCCCCATATAGTAATTCATCCCCCATATAGTAATTCATCCCCCATTAGTAATTCATCCCCCGTTATAGTAATTAATCCCCCATATAGTAATTCATCCCCCCTATAGTAATTCATCCCCCTTAATTCATCCCCCCTATAGTAAGTCCCCCCTGTGTCAATTCACTTACCTTTGCTCCGCGCGTTCCTCTCGCCGTGTTCTCGCGCCATTCCGGTGTAGCATGAAAATCTGTCTCCTATGAGGATCTGTCCCCCCTCACGTATCTGCGCATGTGCCAGTTTCCGGCATTAGCAGCCGATCGGCGATCTCCGGCACATGCGCAGATACGTCGAGGGGGACAGATCCTCATAGGAGACAGATTTTCATGCTACACCGGTCTTCAGGGCGGACTGTGAGAGGAGCCTAGCGGGAGCCTAGCTCCGCGGGCTGGATTAAAAGGTCCGCCGGGCCGTATTCGGCCCGCGGGCCGTAGTTTGCCCATTTGGTCTATGCCCTCTTCCACACTACGCTACACATGGATATTAAGCGTAACCCATGTGAGGCACTATTATTTAAACCACTAGTAGGCCTGCTCCATCCTGAACAGCAGTTAGCATCGCATCTATTTATGGCTACAAAATTGACGATCTCCTGGAAAACCCCTCTTCTTAGCTTTGAAGCCGTTAAGAATCAAATGTACTTTATAATGGTTAATGAGAAGCTAACGGCTATGCTGCTTGACACCCACACTAAGTTTCTACAGATCTGGCGTCCTTGGATTGATGTGGCTCAACCGTCTAGATTTGATCAGACCTTCTGTCGATATAAGATTCTCCTGGTGCGTTCCCCTGGAGCCCTTTCTTCTTCTTTGCCTTTACTATTCTTGTTTCTTCTTTCTTCGCTTTTTTTCTTTCCCTTTTCTTTGCTTTTTTTTTTTTTCTGTCAGTTTTTTATGTTATATGCACTGATTTTGCTACCCCTAGAGAACTGTGTCTGTAATGTTTTATATATCGGTTTGACTTATTTGGAAGTTCTAGATGTAGAGTTCTGATATACCTCCAGCGAGATTTTATGCTCAACTTTTCCCATCATCTGTATGCGACTTTAGTGACTATCCTTGGTCTTTGCCCATCAGCTCATTGGTTACTATGTGCTGCCAACATAATTCTATATGGCCTCACTCTATTCCTTTTGAGATTGTGTTTTTATATCCCGTTTCTCTCTGTGTCAATATTTTAGTGCATTTGTTATGTCCTTCATTAACAGAAATGTACACCCTACTTTTTTGTGTTAATGAGCTTGTCTCTGACTGTTCCTATGTTGTTGCGTTGTCTATAATAAAATCCATTGTAAAGAAAAAACCTTGCAGTCAGCCATGACACTCTCTCCTGAGAAACATCTAAAAGGTAAGAAATACGATTCTTAATTTTTTTAAGCATGCAGTGTGATGGGGAACAGATATAACAAACATAGAGTGGGGTTTTCTGAAATTTGACTGAAAAAGTGGAAATATGCTTTAAACTAGCACAAACTCCTGCTTGTCCCCTACTAGTCAGTACAAGTGACTGAAAAAAAGCAAACAGAAATGAGGTGCGGACAGAAACTAGCATCTGTCCTTTAAAAACCACTTCCTGCCCACCCACAGTAGATTTACTAGATTTACTAGACCTGTATGTCAAGGAGAACTTCCTGGTTTTTGGGCAAGCATGTGCACAGCAGTGAAAAGCAGGGAGAAAAAGCAGCCAGACCTATGAGTAAAAGCAGCACACATTACACTTATTAGGCACACAGTTAACCCCTTCATTGCCCCTTGATGTTAACCCCTTCCCAGCCAGTGTCATTAGTACAGTGTAGAGTATTATCACTAATCACTGTATAAGTGTCACTAATGACGTCTGTGTCAGTTAGTGTCCCTCCCAGCCAGTGTCAGTTAGTACCAGATTGCCCGTCACAATATCACAGTCATGCTATAAGTCACTGATCACCGCCATTGCTAGTATAGTGTCTGTATGGATCAGTATCTTGAGCACGATTAGAACTATACTAGTGTCCCCAATAGTATAGTATCCCCATTGATTTATAAATGCCTAAAGGTATGAAGAAATTTGATTTTATTGTATGTTTTATAACAAAAAGTAAAAGATAAGTTTTTTTTCCCAAAAAGTTTTTGTTAATTTATATAATAAAAAAAAATAAAAAAGCTCATGGCGACCACAAAAACCACCAAAAGAAAGCTCTATTTGTGTTAAAAAAAAAAATACAGACATTTCATTGCTTAGTGTTGCATGACCAAGCAATTGCCAGTTAAATTATCACAGTGCTAAATAGCAAAAAATGCTCTAGTCAAGAAAGTGGTAACACCTGCTGGAGGTCAAGCGGTTAAAGCAGGGGTCTCCAAACTACGGCCCATGGGACAAATCTGTAAGAGGAGACACTGATAAGGACCCTGATGCCAGGGGGGACTCTGATGGGACCTTTATTTAAGGGGGAAGCTGATGTAAGGAGGGACTTTAAAGGGGACTTTAAAGGGGACTCTGAAGAGCTTAAGTTCCTTTGGAATTTTTTCTCTTTTTACTGAAGCTTTTCTTTTTTTTTTTGATAAATCATGATTACAAAAAAAAAACTCCAGATAAAACTTATTCATTCATTTAAACTCATTTTTTTGTCCTGCAAATATTTGAAAAATATGCAACGTGGCCTTGTACTGAAACGTTTAGGGACCCCTGCTTGAATGTAAACCCTAGGGCCTCTTTCACACCAGCTTTCCTATCAGGTCCACCTGTCAAATTTTCAGGCCAACTTGATCAGAACCTTCAAACAGCTCTATGGGCAGGCTGATATAAACAGACTTGTGTTCTTTTACATTTGCCTACCTCTGAGTCCAGAGATAGGATGTAGCCTGATGTAAATGAACACACACTCCTTTACATTGGTGGTCAGTAGAATGTACCCACTATTGACAAACAGTGGAGAAAGGCCTCTATTACATTGGTGGCCAGCAGAAAAGAGCCCTCACATTCATGTTAGACAGAACAAGGGTCCTGGTGGATAGCTGGAGCACAAATGTCTTACATTATTTATTTATTTTGGGTACTTATATAGCGCCGTCAATTTACACAGCGCTTTACATATATATATTGTACATTCACATCAGTCCCTAACCCTCAAGGGGCATACAATCTAAGGTCCCTAACTCACATTCATAGATATACTAGGGCCAATTTAGACAGGATCCAATTAACCTACCAGCATGTCTTTGGAGTGTGGGAGGAAACCAGAGTACCCGGAGGAAACCCACGCAGGCACAGGGAGAACATGCAAACTCCAGACAGGTGGTGCCGTGGCTGGGATTCGAACCAACGACCCTAGTACTGCCAGGCAAAAGTGCTAACCATTTAGCCACTGTGCTGCCCCTGTGCTGTTCTGGTTTCATTAGTTTAGTCATGGAACCCTTATCAATCTCTAAAGGAACCCTAGGGTTCCATTAACTCTGGATCCTAAAGACTAGTATATAGCATATTTGTATCTTCCATACGAACAATACATCTTTACACATACCACGGAAGGCAGAGGGTGGATCGTGAAAGAAGTTGTGCTTGGTGAAGAAGAGAAGGTACGAGCAATAGGACCATGATGCACAGTAGAAAAGGAATTTCCAGGCACTCTCAGGAACTTTCTCTGCTTCTTTTGGCCGCAATCGGCACCATTTACTAAATGGCTGTAAAGAGATGCAGAAACACATACTATGGGTTCAGCGCCAGAACACACATAAGATACATTTGTGGTAACAAAAAGAAAATCTGCTGAAGAAAAAATTGTGCATTAAGAGGGCCTTTCAGATAAAATCACAATGCACATGAGGCCTCAGAAAGCTTTAAGTGCCTAAGGAATTGCTCTGCAGTGACTAATTAGGACACGTCATGCTTCCCATGCTTAAAGCAGTGAATTGGAGACTTCACAATGATTGAAGTCATCGGTGCCAAGAAATCTGACAGTATCTGTACACAGCTGTTCTGGAATGGAATGAAACAGACACTCTCCATTGACTGGATAATGTCATTGATAACCCTACTAAAAGAACCGGAGCTATATAAATATCCCCCTAGTCAAGATGTAGTGTGAATGAAAGTTTACAATTCGTGAGCCTGGAAATACGGGAAGCCTCTAGGTTCTTTTCTGCTGTCAGCTTGCTATGTTTAGGATGGGAGGTAATCGTACCTCTTGTAACCCTCAGCAGTTTTCCTGTGCTGTTCCCTGAGGTCTAAAATTAGGCACCATGTATCAGGAGATATAAACAAGAAACATACCAGTACTCTTCATACAGCACATACAGATTACAACATGATCTATACAAGTTATTTACTATCCAGCTGGGATTTATTATCCCGGCAAAATGTGCTGCGGTATTGTGCATGGGTTTAATGTGAGCTGTAGATATACATATTACAGAAATGTGAATTTTGAATGGGCTTCCAAATCACCACAATGCACAAAAAAAAAACAGACATGCACCACTTTTTAATGCAGCACACCACAATGAATGACAATTCATTGCACTGTTTATTGCAATTTTGATAGCATGCGGTAACATTTTACCACCATGCACTAGCCTAAAACAGGGTCTTTAAAGAGACTATAGCTTAAAGTGGTATTAACCACTTCCAGTCCGGACACTTTTAACCCCTTCCTGTCCAGGCCAATTTTCAGCTTTCAGTGCTATCACACTTTGAATGACAATTGCACGGTCATGCAACACTGTACCCATATTAATTTTTTAGCATTGTCTTGAGACAGATAAAGCTTTATTTTGGTGGTATTTGTTCACCACTGAGATTTTTATTTTTTTTGCTATGTAAATTAAAATGTCCAAAAATTTTGAAAAAAAGTGTTTTTCTTATAAAATTTTGCAAATAAATAGTATTTCATCATAAATCTTGGCCAAAATGTATTCCGTTATATTTTTAGTAAAATAAAATAACCCAAATTAGTTTATAACCAAAAATTATAATTTTTAAACTTTTTTTACATTTTTTATTTATTATTTTTTTTTACATACTGTCACCCTAGCAGTGACACTGTACTACTAGTGGGGGGTGATGAAGATTTTTTTTTTTTTTTTTACACTGATTGCTTTTACATCCATAAAGGATGTAAAAGCAATCATTTCTCCTTCTCTCTAGCTGCATTCTTGCAGCCATTGAGAACTACTGAGTGAGCTGTGATTGGTCACAGCTTGTCACATGGTACAAGGTTATTGTGAATAGCCTTGTACCATGTGACCTCTATGATCATTCACAGATTTCACACGTAGTAAGCAATGATGTCACAAATGACATCTTGTTTACTACTCTACATGTGATCACTGATTGGCCAATCAGTGATCACATGATCGGGACCTCGTCCGACGATCGGTGTTCCACTGTGTCCAGAGGACACAGCGGGCACCGAATCATGGTGCTGCGAGCTCCCAGGGAGCGCGCACAAGAAGGGTGCAGGGAGGCCATTTATAAACGACCACCCAACCCTGCACTGCCACCGTCCGGCTGTTTATATACAACAGCCAGATGGGAGGTGGTTAAACCAAAAATGTAATATAGTGCAGCTTACCAATCATTAGTGGTGGCTGCATTAGTTTCCTTTTTTTTAGTCTGTTTTCATCTGATGACCTGGTCAGTAACACACCTCCTGTATTAGAGTGCCCCTGATCTGGATGAAAGAGCAAAGGGGGCACAGCAGACACCAGCATTGTTAGTCTGTGTGGAGGGAGTGTTAGATGTACTAGCAGATTTAAAGTATATGTGAACACTCAACCTGTAAAAGAACCCATTCAGTTTATAATGGAAATGAAAGGCAAAACATTTGTGTATAAAAAACATTATAAATACCTTTCTTTTCTTTTTTTTATCATTGATCACATACCATTCTGTTCTCAGCAGCATAAGGAGGTTAGAGAGCTGGGGGTGGAGAAACAGCATTACACTGGTCTTCCTAGTGAATGGTTGTGCAGGGGGAGGCATGTCAGCACAAGTCTAATCATTAGAGGAAGGCAGACAGAGTTCTCAGCACAGCCAGAAAACTGACCACACTGTGATCTCGTGTCTAATGGGGTCAATTTTTAACCTCATTACCGCGTTATAGCTGAAAAACATGGTACTCTCGTTCTGAGAGGGCATCTATAGACATCCTTCCAGAACATGCCTCACATTCTCCCCCTGGGGTGTGCATCGGGTGCACTCTGTGACTGCTGTGTCTTTTGCCGATAACTGGCAATCCTGACAGAGCTTTGTTTACACTGATAATCAAGGCACTGATCATCAGTGCAGCCCCAGCAGTACCCATTAATGCAGCTTGCCAGTGCCCATCCGTGCAGCTTATCAGTGCCACCTATCATTGTCCATCAGTGCCGCCTATCAATGCCCACCAGTGCCGCCTCATCAGTGCAGCCTCATTAGTGCCCATCAGTGCAGCCTATCATTGCCCAACAGTGCAATAAGTGAACAAGAAAAATGACTTATTTGCTAAATTTTATAACAGAAACGAAGAATTTTTTTCCTAATTTTGGTCTTTTTTCGTTTGTTCAGCAAAAATTAGAAACTGGGTGAAAATGCCACCAAAAGCAAGTTCTATCTGTCTCAATAAAATGATAAAATATTCATATGGGTACAGTGTTGCATGACCGCACAATTGTCATTTAAAGTGCGACAGCACTCAAAGGTGAAAATTTGGCCTGGGCAGGAATGGGGGTGAAAGTGTCCAGGTATTAACAGGAAAGCAGAGGGACTGGAAGGATCACCAGGGATTTCACACAAATGAAGCAATAGAAAGAGAACAGGATACTTTTTCATACAAGTACACGGTACAGCAGGCACATATCAGGAATATGAAATGTAGAGTTCACATACAAACAAACTGAAACCAAACTCCAGCTAACACTTTATAAGCAGTTACAGCAAACAGTTTTGTTCCTTTTGGGATAAAGGTTTTTACATACATACATAAATAAATAAATAAATAAAAGCTGATCATTGTAAATGGTTTGTCTCATCTCTATAACTGTTGTATTTGCAGGAGAATGTGTTCTTTTGAAAACCAACAGACTTAATGGCTGGATCACCAGGGGAAAATAGAAGAAAGAAAGCCCAAAAAGAAAATGAATGCAGCCATCACATCTAAGAATTGGTAAACTGCAATGCAATAAATGTTTGCTTTTGGGTTTAATACCACTATAAATTAATGTTTGAAATAAAGTGACCCTGTCTACACAGGGTCATCTGTGCAGTATAGGATTACAGAAGAGGCACTGCACTTACCTTTCCAGCAGCCTGTTTGTTGAAACAACGCCTCTTCGATCCTTCCTGGTCACTGTTTTTTTCCCTTTTCACACTACAGTTCCTCCCACCAGCTTGTATATCCTGTAGTGAATTAACTAGTACAAGAAACCACAGCATGTGGCAGGAGGAGCAGATGTTCCACATACACTATATTGCCAAAAGTATAGGGACGCCTGCCTTTACACGCACATGAACTTTAATGACATTCCAGTCTTAGTCCGTAGGGTTCAATATTGAGTTGGTCCACCCTTTGCAGCTATAACAGCTTCAACTCTTCTGGGAAGGCGTCCACAAGGTTTAGGAGTGTGTCTATGGGAATGTTTGACCATTCTTCCAGAAGTGCATTTGTGAGGTCAGGCACTGATGTCGGAGGAGAAGGCCTGGCTCACAGTCTCCGCTCTAATTCATCCCAAAGGTGTTCTATCAGGTTGAGGTCAGGACTCTGCTGGCCAGTCAAGTTCCTCCACCCCAAACTCGCTCATCCATGTCTTTATGGACCTTGCTTTGTGCACAGGTGTGCAGTCATGTTGGAACAGGAAGGGGCCATCCCCAAACTGTTCCCACAAAGTTGGGAGCATGAAATTGTCCAAAATGTCTTGGTATGCTGATCCCTTAAGAGTTCCCTTCACTGGAACTAAGGGGCCAAGCCCAACCCCTGAAAAACAACCCCACACTATAATCCCCCCTTCACCAAACTTTACACTTGACACAATGCAGTCAGGAAAGTATCGTTCTCCAGGCAACCGCCAACCCAGACATGTCCATTGGATTGCCAGACAGAGAATCATGATTCATCACTCCAGAGAACACATCTCCACTGATCTAGAGTAAAGTGGTGGCGTGCTTTACACCACTGCATCCGACACTTTGCATTGTACTTGGTGACGTAAGGTTTGGATTCAGCTGCTCGGACATGAAAACCCATTCCATGAAGCTCTCTATGCAATGTTGCAGTACTAATCTGAAGGCCAAACGAAGTTTACAGGTCTTTAGTTATTGCAGACAGTTGGCGACTTCTGCACCTGTGCGCTTCAGCATGCACTGACCCCCCTCTGTCATTTTACATGGCCTACCACTTAGTGTCTGAGTTGCTGTTCTTCCCAGTTGCTTCCACTTTGTTATAATACCACTAACAGTTGACTGTGGAATATTTAGTAGCAAGGAAATTTCATGGATGGACTTATTGCACAGGTGACAACCTATCATGGTACCACACTTGAATTCCCTGATCTCCTGAGAGCGACCCATTCTTTCACAAATGTTTGTAGAAGCAGTCTGCATGACTAGGTGCTTGATTTTATACACCTGCGGCCATGGAGACGATTGGAACACCTGAATCCAATGATTTGGAGGGGTGTCCCAATAATTTTGCAATATAGTGCACTTGAAAGTGTGGAATAGATGCAGTGGC